AAATCGTGAGTAGTGGTGATGTTCAAGATGTTCCATGGGTTACTGGAGTGACCAGTGAAGAAGGATTGTATCCAGTTGCTGGTAAGAAATATAGCACAATGAAGATAAAGAGATTTTCGTATGTTTTTGAGTTGTGCTTTAACATCGCAAATTTTCGTAGAATTTATTGCTAAACCAGAAGCCTTGAAAACATTGGAAGAAAATTGGGAGCTCCTTGCACCTCATTTCCTTGATTACAATTATACCCTACCTAAAGAGAAGCACATTGAAGTAGCTAAACTTATCAAGAATCACTACTTTGGATCCAAAAAAATTGACAGTGCAACATTAAAGCCTTTGATTCAAGTAGCCAGTGATAGATTCTTTGTTGTTGACAGTGAAAAAGTAGCTAGAATGCAAGCTAAAGTTAATAAACAACCTGTCTGGTATTATTATTATACTTATAGAGGTGCACAAAGTCTCAGTGATGCTATGAGTGGAACTACCAACAATTATGGTATATTATTAAGACTAAAAAATTAATCAATGGAAAAGAGGAAGGCAGTCACATGTATTGAATATTTTGTATAGGTGTGAGCCATGCGGATGATGCGTACTTTGTTGTAGATACTCCTTATCTTAATCCCACAACAACACCAACCGACATAAAAATGCAAAGGATTTTAATTGATTTCTGGGTATCATTTGCAACTGATGGGTGAGTAATAATACGTAAATTGAAGGAATCAATTTATGTTATATTCTCATACGTTTTATTTCTCTTTTTGTTTTAATTGATTTAGAGTTCCAAATGTTGGTGGTGCTAAATGGCCAAGACTAAATCCAAGTGATAAACCATTGCACTATTTGCGCATTGCTGGACCAGATAAGATTCACATGGAAAGCACTACAAACTTTGGGGAAAAAGATTTTTGGAACTCTATTAACTTTAATGAGAACAAATTAAACACAGCATCTGGTACATTAAAAGAAGAACTGTAAAAATACTGTTTACCAATTCTGTTGCATCCATAATAGAAAATTAATTTAATCTTATCATTATGTGAAAAATCTAACAATAAAATTGTATTTTTATTAGATATAAGTACTTAAAAGTATGTAAAGCATAGAAATATGACATGTTAAAATTATCACACTTTTATAAAAACACAAAGAAGAATGAAATAATGTATAAATGATGTAAAAATTGAAGAAATAAATTTGCAAACACAATTATTATTGTATTTTAATTTTTACCTATACTATTTTGTGTTGAACATATTTTAATGTTTGAAGTATTAATAATTATTACATTTTATTGAATTATATTTAGCATGGAAATACTCATTTGTTCAAAACTATAAAAAATAAGGCACTTACCTGATCAATCAATACAATATTGCAATCTGGATGTCTACCAACTTTAGTAACTCCTTTCTTAATTGGATATTTGTTTGTTAATAAAAAAGAAATATATAATTATACGTAAACATTAAACAGATTTAAAGAATTTAAATGTAACTGTAAAAAACGGAGTAGCAAAAATATTTAATTTATGTTTACTTGAATTCCTTCTTGCGGTGTAGAATGGAGAAGTTTTTGCGTCGGTGTAAAATCATCATCGTCGAATATTTGCGTCGCTGGAATATCCATTGTAAAGACAATTTATTTTGTATTACTACAAGATTACAAACTTTTTACGAGATAACCTCATTTGATAGGCAACAACCTAATGATTTACTACTAGCCACTACAGACGAACGAATGTATAAATAAATGACCAACTTTCACACACATTTATAAAAGAACGAATTTACCATAGTATTTATGACAATATTGTAGCAAAACAGTTAACAATAATGAACAAAAACATCACATCACGAAATATTATAAAACGGTTATTCCCGCCATTTGTAAGTTTTTGAAATTGCTAATATACGAAACATAAATTCCCTATGAGATTTATAATTGTTGAATATAATGAATATTTTGTCATATGCGGTTTTTAAATTCAGTATTTCAATTTTAAATAAGAATCTATCATATTTACTGCAACTTTATTTTTACATTTTTTGTAATTTATATAAGCACAGATTAGGTTTTGCATCTTATTAGTGATATAAGTAAAGGTCCTATAATTGGAAGTCTGATTTACCAATAGATGAACAAATTTTTTGAGTGCAGACGAGATGTGAGAGTAGTACACGCACCCAATATATTTTTTTGTCACACAACCCCAGGGTTCTAGCACAACCAACGTACAGGATAACATCTTATGGCATTTTTTATCCGCCGCATTGGGGTTGAGGAGACCCTTATCATTTTCGTATCGCTCCCAACGTTACCGATTTAGCATAAAATAAGGTTACAACATTAATATTTAGTGGTTAGACTTAGAATCAAACGTAATTATAAAATTATAAATAAGAAAGTAACGTAATTGTTTATTAGTACATGATTCAACTGTTGCTATCAAAAGATCGTGAACAGTTCTACCAGGTAATCCAATATATTTAATCATGCTTACTCATCGAGGTATTCACCAATCAGAAATGAGGTAGACAAGGAAAAGAATATGGGTAGATAAGCACAGAAAATTCAAAAGTGAAACTAACGCCATCTTGTGTTTGGTGACGCTAAATACGATTTTTTAACAGGAACACAGAATGTATACAGAGGTATTAGACAAGGAACGCACTAGTGGGAGACAAGGATAGAGAGAGAACGTTTTCTATTGGTCCGTGGTCCGCTGAGCTCCGCCCCTCAGAGCCTCAACCACGTGGTGCGGTGAAAAATCGTTAATAACTCGATAATTAGGATAATTTTGTGGACTTTTAGAATTGAAGAATGAAGTACAAACCTTCAGCAACTTTCTCATGTAGTTTTTAATGCTCTAGACCCTTCCAGTAATTAATTATTAACAATTATTGTGCAGAGTGTCGGCAGCGATACCGCACACCCTTCTGGTTTTTCATTAATTCTGTACATCTGGACAAATATTTTATGTTCTTTTATACATGCGTTCGAAAGGCTATTCCTTTATCTACTTTCTCCTTTAATTTTCATTAACATATCTGTCGTAACTTACGAGATATTAAACATTATTTGGGTAAGTATTACACTCGTCGTATTCAAGCATAATAAATTTCTGGCATTTTCATTAATAACTCATTATTTACAATGAATTTGTGAACTTTTAGAATTGAAGAATGAAGAGTGGACCTTTAGCTATTTTCTCATATAGACGTTAATGCACTAGACCCTTTCAATAATTAGTTATTAACAATTATTGTGCAGAGTGTCGGCAGCGATACCGCACACTCTTCCGGTTTTTCATTAATTTTGTAGTTTTGCAAAAATATTTTGTGCACTTTCATACATGCGTTCGAAAGACTATTCCATCAGCTACTTTCCCCTTATATTTTCATTATCATACTCGGTTTAGTTTAAGAGTTATTAAACATTTTTTGAGAGAGTATTACACCCTTCGCATTCAATCGTAACACGTTTTTATTATTTCAATAGATATGCATGACTGCACTTTCATACATACGTTCGAAAGGCTATTCCATTAGCTACTTTCCCGTTATATTTTCATTAACATATTCGGTTTAGTTTAAGAGTTATTAAACATTTTTTGAGAGAGTATTACACCCGTCGTATTCAATCGTAATATGTTTTCGTTATTTCAATAGATATGCATGATTAATTATGCACTTTGAAGCATGCAGGATGTAGAATGGACTTTTATTTATATTCTCCAATAATTTTTATAACCGTGGGTGATGTCGTTTACTAGATATTAGCAATTGTTTATAATAGTTGAATATACTCGAGTACGACGATTAGGGAACTCTCCCATATAATGTTTAATAACTCTCAAACAAAACCGAAAATGTTAATAAAAATTATATGAGAATATAGCCAGAGGAGTCCCCTTTCAGATGTATATAGTTACTTGCATGAAAATTTAGTAGAAAGCTCTGAAATTATTAAAAAACCGTAAAAGTGTGCGGTATCGTTCCCGACTTTACGCACTGAAATTGTTAATAAAATTATATGAGAATATAGCCAGAGGAGTCCCCTTTCAGATGTATATAGTTACTTGCATGAGAATTTAGTAGAAAGCAGTGAAATTATTAAAAAACCGTAAAAGTGTGCGGTATCGTTCCCGACATCACGCACTGAAATTGTTAATAAATAATTACTGGAAAGGTCTAGAGCATTAAAAACTGCATGAGAAAGTTGCTGAAGGTTTGTACTTCATTCTTCAATTCTAAAAGTTCACAAAATCATCGTAATTATTGAGTTATTAATGATTTTTCACCGGACCACGTGGTTGAGGCTCTGGGGGGCGGAGTTCAGCGGGACGCTGGCCAATAGGAAGCGTTTTCTCTTTATCCTTCTCGCACAGTAGTGCGGTCCTTGCCTAATACCTCTGCTCACATTCTGTGCTCGCAGTAACGAGCCGTTCGTTCGCTCAGCCAAACCCTGACACGATGTAAGTTTTGTTGTGAAAAATTCCCTATCCTTGTGTAACCTTATTCCTTTCCTTTTCTAACTTAAATAATGTCACTAATTTTACCTCTGTCTACCCCTATTTCTTTCGTTGAAATTAAAAAATTAAGCGGTTGTACTAAGTTAATCATGCAACAAATTCATTTAATACATCCAATAATTATAAACTATTACCTAAATTATTATTTAACAAGAAACAGTAATTATTCTGTGGGAAATGGAACGGGCTTGAAAATGATTTCAGACTGTCTTCAGTAACACGATGTTGCCTATCGAACGTACGAGCCACGACTACCGCGACTTTCGCTTCGTACACTCTATACGTATGTCGCCGCCTGGGCTGTCGAACTGCGTAGCATTTTCAGAGAACTGCGTTGCTGTACGACTCGCTTACTTTGGTGGTCGCCATAATTCTATAAATAAAGTACTTTAAAATAAGCCAGCAACTGTATTTTACTATCTAAATTATTAGTAATGTTAAGCAATTAGAAATTTAATATAAGTATTAATAGGGATGATGGGGATAGCTAAATACAATAGAGCGAAGGGAGACAAGGAAAAGAATAACAGTAGATATGGATAGTACTATTTAGAAAACTGAGTTAGACAAAGAATTAAATAGAGGTAAAGAAGGATAGCAACAGAGTAATGTGTTAGACAAGGAAAGATATAGTGCTAGACAAGGAAAGATATAGTGCTAGACAAGGAGAGAGAAAAATGGCGGGCGATACTAGCGCCATCTCGCGTTTGGAGATGCGAACTACGACATTTCAATAAGATATAGAGATAGTAGACAAGGACAGCACTAGTGTGCGAGAAGGATAGAGAGAAAACGCTTCCTATTGGCTGGCGGTTCGCTCAGCTCCGCCCCTCAGGGCCTCAGCTACGTGGTCAGATGAAAAATCATTAATAACTCAATAACGACGAAGATTCTGTAAACTTTTAGAATTGAAGAATGAAGAATGGACCTTCAGCAACTTTCTCATATACATTTTAATGCTCTAGACCCTTCCAATAATTAGTTATTAACAATTTTAATACGTGATGTCGGGAACGATACCGCATACCTTTACGGTATTTCAATAATTTCATAGATTTCTGCTAAATTCTCATGCAACTAACTATATGCGTCTCACAGGCAACTCCTTTGGCTAGATTCTCGTCTAATTTCTATTAACATATTCGCTTTCGTTTAAGAATTATTAAACATTCTTTGGGAGAATGTTACACACTTCGCATTCAATCGTAACACGTTTTTATTATTTCAATAGCAATGCGTGATTAATTATGCACTTTTAAGCTTGGAGAATGTAGAATGGACTTTTATTTATATTCTCCAATAATTTTTATAACTGTAGGTGACGTGGTTTACTAGATATTAGCAATTGTTTATAACATCTCGAGTGCGATGAATAGAGGCTCTCCCATAGGCCACGGAAAAATGATTAATAACTCATTATTTACAAAGAATTTGTGCACTTTTAGAATTGAAGAATGAAGAGTGGACCTTTATCTATTTTCTCATATAGATTTTAATGCACTGGACCTTTTCAATAATTTGTTATTAACAATTTTAGTGTGTAATGTCGGAAACGATACCGCACACCTTTACGGTTTTTCAATAATTTCACAGCTTTCTACTAAATTCTTATGCAAGTAGCTATCAGCATCTGAAAGGTGACTCCTTTGGCTATATTCTCATATAATTTTTATTAACATTTTCGGTTTAGTTTAGGAGTTATTAAACATTATATGGGAAAGTTTCCTAATCATCGTACTCGAGTATATTTAACTGTTATAAACAATTGCTAATATCTAATTAACTACACCACTTAGGGTTACCAAACTAATTGCAGATGATGAATAAAAGTCCATTCTACATTCTGCATGCTTCAAAGTGCATAATTAATCACGCGTATCTATTTAAATAACGAAAATATGTTACGATTGAATACGACAAGTGTAATACTCTCTCAAAGAATGTTTAATAACTCTTAAATTAAACCGAATATGATAATAAAAGTTATATGAGAATATAGCTAAGGGAGTTGTCTTCTAGATGCATATAGTTAGTTGTAAGTGCACAAAATATTTTTGCAAAACTACAAAATTAATGAAAAACCGGAAGAGTGTGCGGTATCGCTGCCGACACTCTGCACAATAATTGTTAATAACTAATTATTGAAAGGGTCTAGTGCATTAACGTCTATATGAGAAAATAGCTAAAGGTCCACTCTTCATTCTTCAATTCTAAAAGTTCACAAATTCATTGTAAATAATGAGTTATTAAT